TTAATCTAAGATCTACTGGTAGATCACTAAGACTGGCATTTGTGAAGAAGTAGCTGGGTAAACAAATAAAACCGGTGTACAGACACCACCCCGTGGTGAAAATGCAGTACTGCAGTTTCCATATTTTCTTAACACCGGTGACAAATGCAACACTTTGAAGACTTAAAAAAAAAAAAAGTCAGCTTTTATAGTTCATGCTTATAAAGTGATTGTTTGCCATGCTGCCTGGTGTATTTACTTCCATGTACATAATTCTGTCTTCAAAATCTAAAAGATAACTGCACCTTTGAAACCACCTTCATAAACTGTTCTAGAGGAGGTAGGAAACCTTGGCACTCCAACTCTGGTGGAACTACAAGTCCCATGAGGCAGTGCAAGACGGATATCCACAGAGGCATGAATCCAAAGACTTCCCTTGCAATGGAGCTTCTCCCACTTATAAGTGTTAACTGCTTGCTTTGGTCTAGGATATATGGATAAAAGGACATATACTAACCTGAAACCCACTCCCGCTGGCTCCAGTATCCTCTTTCCTCCTTCGAAGAGGACGTCGTAATGTCTAATGCTAGAAAACAAAAAGGGAACAGAGCGCCACCTCAGTGTGTAAAATAGTTTATTAAAATAAATAAAACAAGGAATATATGTATTCACAAGCAAACATGTTCATCAGGCTTTAACAAACAAGAGCTCACACTGTCTGTTAACCCAACATGGTATCGCCCCAACTATGTACCACAGTTGCCTCCAGTCAATCATGATTCTGATGAAGGGGGCTTGGCCCTGAAACACGTCAATCTTGGCTGACTGCCAGGGGACAGTGATGTGACCGGAGGTAGCCGTGGTACAGTCAGCGGAGACAGTGTGGACTCTTGTTTGTTGTCAAAGCGTGATGAAAATGTTTGCTTGCGAGTACATATATCCCTTGTTTTATTTATTCTAATAAACTATTTTGCACACGGAGGTAGCACTCTGCTCCCCTTTGTTTTCTATGTTCGCGGTGGAAGCCCCAGAGCCTTGGATGAGCAGCCCCTCAAGTCTGTGTGATAAACTGTTGAAAACTTTGATTATGCAACAGCAAGTGGATCAGTCAGCTGGCAGCCATTTGCGCCAAGAGTTAAAGAAAACGGTTTGTCTGATCTCTAATGCTGGGTTTATAGCTCTGCATTACGTGCAAGGAAGGAAAGGGAGAGGTGAGCACTGTCCGCTGGGGGATGGAGGATCAAGTAAAAACCTCTTCACCATATCCCTGGCCACCAATGAGCAGGCAATACTTGCAGTGCAGGGGTAGACCAATTGCAAGGGATTTTTTTTTTTTTACCTGGAAACAGATTTGTGGTGGTGCTGCTTTCCTTCTGTAAACTGTATTGTCACATTTGCAGCCTGCAATTGGAAAACGTTCAGAGGAGTTCTGCAATATAGATACTTGGTGCATTTGGTCCCTGCCCAGTCTGACATCCTATGGATATGCTACTGTATAGTCGAGCATGATTTGCACTATTAAAAACGGCACAAATTAAAACCAGCCTCTTCCCAGTACATGTAAGTGGCTTCAACTCTTACAGATGTAGCCAAAAATACCTGGTGTACATGCTCTCAAAAAGTGATGGTGAAATTTCAGTACACAACTTCTTTAACAAAAGCACCAGAGCTTGGCTTTGGAACAATTCAAATAGTTAGTGTAACTCTTAGCAGTGTAAGATATTTCAATGATTCTAAAATGGACATACCATGAGAAATACCAATTTAGTACAAATATTGTATAAAATATATACTAGAGAACTTTATATAAATAGCTGCAGAAATACATTACAAAATATCAGATCATAGGTAAAAAGTACATACTATGGGAGAAGTAGAGTTTAGAACAATAATTACAGTTTGCCTTAAAAATAAAAATTTGGTTATAACTTTCACATCTTTTGTCAGTTTAATCCTTCTGATTTTATTATATTTAAAGTACAACTGTACCTTTGTGTAATAGTCCTTTAATCCATTACCACCCATGCACCTGAGTTCTATCCACTTGGACAAATATTTACCTTCCTCCTCGATCCTGCAATCTTCGCAACGAGCCCGGCGGCTCAATTTTCCCTAGCTGGGTCTTCCACTTGGTGTGCATGTATGCTGCAGCCCCATTCATTCCAATGGATAAGTCGCACTCTGCAGGACTACTGGAGGCCACAACGAGTAAGGCTTATCCATAGCAATGCATAGGTCCAAGACACTTGTGCACTGAAAAGAATACCTAGCGGGGATGCTTTTGCTGGAAAGGCAGTGCAGTGTTTGGCATGGTCACACCGAACAGGTTGCTGGATTGAGGAGGAAGGCGAGTATTTGTCTAGGTGGGTGGGTTGGTATAATTAAAGGGTGATTGTACAATGGTGGAGTTATTCTTTACATACGGACGTATAGATTGGCAGATTAGAGGCTGTTCACTTTGCATAGTGTATGTTTATGAATAAAGTGAATCTGTTTTTATCCTGAATACCTAATCACTGGTGAGGGAAATTAGAAATACAGGGTTCCTGCAAGCACATGACTCAGTATTCAAATTGAATGCAGATTTACAGTATTTACCAATAACTGAGATTGCAAACTTAAGAACCTTTATTGCTTTAGAGCCTGTGTCAATGGGCTTTAGTTTGCATTACGTGGGTTTTGCATTCCTATAACAAGTCTATGTTAAAGCAAAACCTGCTTGAAGCCGGTCAAAGGGAAGCCAACTGCGGGTCAAATGGGCTTGCCAATGGATTTTGAATAGACCTAGAAGCGTCTCAAACTGATGCCATTGACACAACCCCAAAGCAAGGTCCTTGTTAAATCAACTTGAGCGAACATTGTTTTCAATTAGACAGCTAACTCAGACTTGTAAAGTGAGGAGTGACCAAGCACAACCACTGTATTCAGCTGAAAAGCAGGAAGCAGAGCCAGCATATAAAATATAAAAATATGTCCCCAGTTTATAAATCACAAATTAGTCATAGGACAAAGGTTTTAACCCATTAACACCTTAATAAAATGTTTTACGAGTTAATCTCTTATGTGTTCAAATGAGAAATAAAAATACTACTCCCTGTAAGGAATAAAAACAAGGCACTGAACCTGGGATCTGCTGTAAACTCCCCACCATGTTTCCTGTACCATGCAATTAGGGGCAACTGCTAATGCTACATCTATGTCTCCCTGGCTGAGTGGAGGACTGGATATGGGGAGACTAAGGAGTTTGCCAGACTTCACAGGAGTGATGTACTCCACAACAGTTTGCACACTTGTGCAAAAGTACAAGCCTGCATAGTCTCCTCAACCCTCTTGGCTTTTGGTCTGACTAGAGCTCAGGAAGATCATTTTCTTTCTTGGCTGGAAGCAAGCATCACATAATGGTCAAATAAAGGTGTGAAATGTTGGCCAAGGTGGGCTATCTCCTGGGGTGAAAAGCAATCATTATGACAGTTTTGAGGACACAGGAGAGATTAGTCAATCAGTGCTATAAAGTAGACCATAGTATACTTCTTCTCAAACACTGGCTTGGAACGAATATAAAGGAACACATTCTACTTTTTATACTGTTATGTAACTTTGCAGTGTATTAGTGTGCAAAAAGAAAAAAAAAGACAAGAAGATTGCCACCAAATAAAGTAAAAACTATTGCAGAATTTGTACATTTGAATATAGCCATGTATAAAAGAATGCATAGGATTGAATCCTGTAGGCTGCTTGAGCACTTTTAAGATCAATTTGGGGGGGTTGTATTTTTCTGTGTGTGTATTAGGTCCCATTTGCACCTATATTTCAGGGATTTCTGTGTCCCAAACGTGCGTTTTCGTGCAGCAGGAATCCCTAATCTGGCATTTACATGCAGCAACTGTCATCCATTTATGATTACATGCAGTTACAAAAACAATCACTATCCCTGGATACACAATTGTGTATCCAGGGATAGTGACTGATTCTTAACTGCATGTAATCCTTTCACTTAGGATTAAATGCGGTGTGCCGGCGTTTACATGCAGCAGCTGTCACCCGATCATTAACTTGAATGCGTGACAGTTGCCTCATGTAACATGTGCAGACATTAACACTGGTACCATATATAGTAGGGGCCCCCACAGGACTAAAAAATGTGTCCAGTGGCTCCCCCAAGTAAATTGAGTTTGAGACCCCTGATCTACAGCCAAGCAATACAAAAATAAGTTACATGTTGAGATTTAACTGAGTTTAGGGTCACCAAGTATAGCTTTACTCACCTTACACATTAATACTGTGTGAACAGTGAATTTAACACCTCAAAATAGAAGCAGCCAAATACTGAAAGGACACATGAATGAAAAAGCAGTCTTATCAAAGCACTTATGTAGAAGACTTCACAGGTGGCAGGTTTCCTTAAATACAGTTAAAAATATTATCTTTGGCCAAACTTTATACAAAAAGTGTTCTTGTGATTCTTTAATGATGCTTAGCTAAAGATTGTTCCATACCGTGTTATTGTCTTTAGCAACACTTTGGGCTTGCTCACACCAGATGAGCTGGAGAAAAACTAAATCCAGACTCTGGTCACACTAACATTTAGCAGTTTGCCATTTAATTAAAATGGAGTCAACTAAAAAAATGCAACATGTATAAAAACACAGCACACATTAACGTGTTGATTCTGGTGTAAACAAGCCCTCAGCGATTCCATCCCCAAGACTCTAAACCACAAGATTCTGGAAATTTGGCTGCATTAGTTGTTTTATTATTGGATTTCTGTAACGATTAAAAGAAAAAAAAATAATCCATTTTGGCATCATTTTGATTAAACTTGTCCATCCAATATTAAAACAGAGACAAAAATAAATAAAACCGATGTTGCGGGTAGTGAGCTTAAACCAAGTGCAGCTTCCACTACTTGGTTTATTGAGAACCATTCAGATCATTTCACCAGGTATGCGGTTAGTTTAGCAAGTAGTTTCTTTTCCACTGATCATAGCTAGCGGAACTGCAGAA